CCAATATATGTATATATGTATGGGGGAAATGTGCACTAAAATGCTGGCAAATTTCTGCGGTGACTTTTTAAAGGGACAGTGGTGGTTGTGAACTGTGGAAATGTGTGGAACTGAAATTAACACTGGGAAAATGAGAAACTGAGGGAAACTGAAATTGACAGATTTTTCAATCCCTACATAATACTGACAGACAGTGTGGTATAGTGGTTAGGACCTGGGAGACCATGGTTCAAATCCCCGCTTGGCTACAAAGCATACTGCATGACCTTGGGCTAGGCCCTGCTTCTCAGCCTAACCTACCTCACAGGTTTGTTGCGATGATATAATGAATCAGACAGGGAATTCTTGGATGCTGGCCCATTGCCTTTCTCATCTCCCACTGTAACTTTCAGTAGCCAGGGGAGCTCCTCAAAGTTTTTTCCTTCTGAGTACCCCATGGGAAAACCCAAGTTGCACTTTTAATAATTCCCCTTGCAACCTGCATGTCGCCCAGAAGTCGCGCATGCTCTCTTGGGCCCCAACCGATCCAGAACTTCCAAGCCCATTAAGGGCATTGCATTTTGTAGATCAAATCATATGTTGCTAAGAAGATGCTCTCTCAGGTAGAGCAAATGCTGTGCTGGTGGAAAGAAGTGGCTTCACTTTAGCTGGTAGGTGCCATGCAGACTCTGCTAATCCATAGTCCCTATAGTCCTGCGAGTGATTCTTCCCCCATAAAAGGCTTACAGGATGCCCTTTGTTTTAAGGTAATGCCTTTTCCTACAGAGAGTATGATTGCTACAGGAAGCAAGAAATACCTCTTTGATTTCAGAAATTTATTTCTATAGCACTCTGCAGAATTGATGCTAGGACGTACTGTTTTTAATTTTTCTTGGATCGCCCCTCATTAATGGGAGTTTTGTCTGAAGTAGGTCAGAAAAAGATGTGTGACTAAGAAGTGAGTATGGTGTGTGTAAAGTATTAGTCAGGTATGACTGAAGGCTGACGATAGATATTAGGATGGAAAGAAATCAGAGAGCAAGAATGTTGAAACAGCTGACTAATGGATGAGAAAGGACCAAATGAGAGGAGAGTAATAGGTTCCTATTTCAGCCAATTTGCCTGAGGTATTGAACACATCCTAAATAAGCTAAACCAGGAATGTTTTGAAATAACTGAGCACAGAATTGTTAACATTGGGGAAACCGTGAAACTGAAAGAATATTTGTTCATTTCACATTTATTTCATGAGTCGTCCAAAGAGTTCGTGGGAGCTCTCTTCTCTCCCATGTGAGGTCGTTTAGAAATTAGCGAATTCAACCCAGGCTTCCCATATTCTAGACCATTCCTCCTCAGCCCAGGATATTGCTGGACTCCAGTTCCCAACAGCACCAGTCAGCATAGTCAATGTCCCAGGATGGAGGAACCTGTAGTTGTGCAACATCTAGAGGGCACCTGGTTGGAGAAGTCTGTTTTCAACTGATGCTACGACACTGCTGAACTATTTGCTGTTCACCAAGGAATATATAAATAAGAAAATACTGAGAAAAGGAATGAGGTGTGAGAAAACCCACCAGTGTGGTGTAGTGGTTAAGAGCGGTAGTCTCGTAATCTGGGGAACTGGGTTCGCGTCTCCACTCCTACACATGCAGCTGCTGGGTGACCTTGGGCTAGTCACACTTCTCTGAAGTCTCTCAGCCCCACTCACCTCACAGAGTGTTTGTTGTGGGGGAGGAAGGGAAAGGAGAATGTTAGCCGCTTTGAGACTCCTTAAAGGGAGTGAAAGGCGGGATATCAAATCCAAACTCTTTTTTATAAATCTCTATAGACATGTAATTATTCTTGCAGCAAAATCAACCAAGAGTTTTGTGGCACATTAGAGACTGATACATTTATTATGGCATAAGCTTCTGCAGTCTTGAGTTCATGGAAGCCTATACCATAATAAAAGTGTCAGCCATTAAGATTGCACAAGACTCTGTTGTTGCTTTTAGGAAGGAGCTCTTACGGGGGTGTGACAGAGACATGCTTGTGGAAGCGCTGCAGCTCAGTGACAGAACATCTGTTTGCATGTAGAAAGTCACAGGTTCAGCCCGACATCTTCAGATAGGGTTAGGAAAACTGGACCTTTCTGAAAATCTGGAGAGCTGCTGCCAGTCGGATGGACCTTTGGCTCCTGTGTTCAAGTGACAGCAAAAGACACAGAAGTAATTTCTGTTGTCTAAATACAGGAATAGCCAACATGGTACTTTCCAGGTGTTAGACTTTCAGCTTCTATCATTCTTGACTACAGGTGGAGTTATAGTCCAACTACATCTGAAAGGGATCACATTGGCTGACTTAGAACATCTTTCATGAGGTCCTCAATATCAGGCTTGCCACTTTAATATAAAGATTGATAACCCCTACCCATAGGAAGCTGCTCAGAGTAGCTTACAAATACTTTTCTGTTTTAATGTCACAGCTGCTGCTTTGATGAAAGGCAGACACACTCAGCACCACTGCTCTTCTCTGCCCTCCTACACACAATGACACCCAAAGGTGCCAACTTGAATAAAACGGTGGGGGGAGCCCAGGTAAGCCCCACTCATGAGATGCAGTGCACAAGCACCATTTGAATGGCAATGCCCATCAGCTTGGGAGGGGAGCTGAAGGGACCTCGGCCCCTAAGAGTTGGCTCCTGTGATGACACCAGCTCCCTCTTACTTTCCCTTATATTGGCGATTTGTTTGAAAATGTAAAGTGGAGCTCTAGGGTGAAACACCATGAAAAAGTGAAAATGAGGTTTATTTGGTGTGGTTGGCACCTAATCAGGTCCTTGGTGAATTAAGGAACAAAGGAAGCTGTGTTATGCTGAGTTATAGGAACACATAAATAAGAACAAAGGAAGCTGGTCCTATCTTCTCTATGTCACTTTGAGTCACCTGTCAGGGGAAAAGGTGGGATATAAACATAATCATAATATGGGGTGGTGTGTGTGTGTGTGTGTGTGTGTGTGTGTAAAAAGACTAGGCTAAACTGATGTACTCATGTGTCTATTTATTTATTAATCCAATCACTCACCCATCACTGCATAGAAAACAAGAGATATATGATCTATTAAAACATACAGAAATTTATAATAAAAACAGCATAGCACTCATCCTTTCCTTAAAAGCAGTCAGGTACCAAAACCCTATTGGAATAAGAAAGCCTTCACCTGCAGGGAAGGAAAGAGCCAATCTAACTTCTCCAGGGAAGGAATTCCAGAGTCCTGGAGCAGCCACCGAGAAGGTCTTCTTTAATTCAAAGGTTAATAATAATAATAATTTATTTATACCCCGCCCATCTGGCTGGGTTTCCCCAGCCACTCTGGTTGGCTTCCAACAGGAGATTAAAAAATACATTAAGATATTAGTCATTAAAAACTTCCCTAAACAGGGCTGCCTTCAGATGTCTTCTAAACATCAGATAACCGTATTTTAAGCTGTATTTTAATTAACTGCCCCCCCTTTTTCCTTTTTTTCTATTACCGGTACGTTTTATTGTAATTTATATTCAGTGTTAGCCACCCTGAGCATAGCCCTGGCTGAGGAGGGCGGGGTATAAATAATTTTTTGTTGTTGTTGTTTGTTTCTTTGACATCTGATAGGAGAGCATTCCATAGGGTGGGCGCCACTACTGAGAAGGCCCTCTGCATTGTTCCCTGTAACTTCACTTCTCGCAGTGAGGGAACTTCCGCAGGCAGCTGGATCGAGGCGGGTCGGGGCTGCTGATTCTTCTAGACCTGTCAGCAGCCTTCGACATGGTTGATCACGAACTCCTGGACCACCGCCTTGCCGACGTGGGGATCCAGGGCACAGTCCTTCAATGGCTGCGCTCGTTTCTCTCCGGTCGGGGACAGAGGGTGGCGCTTGGGGGAATGGTCATCCCGCCACTCGTTGGGGTGTGGAGTGCCTCAGGGTGCGATACTCTCCCCGAGGCTTTTTATCATCTTTATGCGCCCCCTCGCCCAGCTTGTCCGGAGTTTTGGGCTGGGTTGCCATCAGTATGCCGATGACACCCAACTCTATCTGTTGATGGATGGCCATCCTGACTCGGCCCCAGACACACTGACCAGATGTTTGGAAGCTGTGGCTGGATGGTTACGCGGAAGCCGGTTGAAGTTAAATCCTTCGAAGACAGAGGTCCTCTGGCTGGGACGGGACGATATGGGATTGGGGGCAACTCCCATCTCTTGAACTGCCAGAAGGCCCTTGGAGCTGGACCTCAGTATCCAGACTGAACGATGGGGGTGGAGACGCTCCTTCATTATCTCCTCCTCTTTCCCAACTGCTCTTTTTTATTTTCTTTCTTTTCTGGTCCCCCTTTCCTATCTAGGTTCAGATCACTTAAACTTCACTTGAGGTATGGAGGACACCACAGCAGTGGCCAAACTTAGGTTGCTGAAGTCTACCCACTTGGAGGGTCTGAGGAACAGCACCCAAGTGACTGAGTTCATCCTGACAGGACTGTCACATGAACGTGGAGTCCAACTTTTCCTCTTTGCCCTGTTCCTCACTTTCTACATGATTGTCCTGCCAAGCAATGTGCTTATCATCATCACCATCCGGAGTGACCCTCATCTCAGCTCACCCATGTATTTCCTATTGGCCAACTTGGCATTCCTGGACATCTGGTATTCTTCCATCACTGCCCCCAAGATGCTAGTTGATTTCTTGGCTGAGCGCAAGATCATTTCTTTCTGGGGCTGCATTGCTCAGCTCTTCTTCCTCCACTTTGTGGGTGCCTCTGAGATGTTCCTGCTCACAGTCATGGCCTATGACCGCTACGTTGCCATCTGCCGTCCCTTGCACTACTCCACTATGATGGGCCGGCGCTTGTGCATCCTACTGGTGATAGCCTCTTGGGCTGGCGGCTTTGTCCACTCTCTCATCCAAGTTGTGCTGATCCTCCGCCTTCCATTCTGTGGACCCAATGAATTGGACAATTACTTCTGTGACATCACCCAGGTTCTGAGGATCACCTGTGCTAACTCCTTTGCTGAGGAGATGGTAATGATATTCAGCAGTGGCCTCATCTCTGTGGTCTGCTTTGTGGCCCTCTTGGTTTCCTACATCTTCTTGCTCACCATGCTGAAGAAGAACACCACTGGTGAGTCAGCCAGCAAGGCTCTCTCCACTTGCTATTCGCACATCACCATAGTCATTTTCATGTTTACCCCTGCCATCTACATCTATGCTCGACCCTTTGATGAATATGCTCCTGACAAGGTGGTCTCTGTCTTCCACACAATAATCTTTCCGCTCCTAAACCCCATTATTTATACCCTCAGGAACAAGGAGATCACCACAGCTATGAAGAAGGTGGTCAACAGATACCTCCTGTGCAAGAAAACATGAGATCAATAGAATGGTAGTCATCCTGGGGTCTTCCTTGCATGACCAAGGGTGAGAAGATATGGTCAGTTTTAATAAGGAAACATCATTAGGAAACACCATTTCTCCACAATTTTCCAGTGGCTTCTTTCGCTTATGATTGATCTCCCCAACCCCTTTCTGCCTCTACACATTCACACTCTTGAAATACATCCATATAAAATATTCTATTCAATTACCTCTTGAATAGTCGTTTCTTGACTTCATCAGCTTACGCTCAAATTATAGGAAAATTCTAACTGAAAATGGCATATTTTTTTTTGCACTAAAGCTGATCATGTAAATTCCAACTAAATTCTAGTGTGCTCTATAACAGAATAAATTTATTTCAGAGACTCCTGTGAAATAAAATTTTAGAAGCAGTCCTTAAAAAAAATCTAACAAATTATCAGTTGCCTTTCAACAAGTACATGGGATAAAATGCCTGTAAGTAAATTATATTAAAGGTGTACATGTTGGTTAAGTGAACTATTAATAAGCTCTCTCTATTGTTCTACTGAGCTCAGTTTCATGGAGTACGCTTGTTTTTTAAATGATGCTAACGTCCTTCAGCAGTGTGAAATGAAGAAATATTTTCAATGCCAGAATACAAAACCCTGCTGTGAAATAATAAAAACTGAGATGTGTACATTACCTGAGGCCTGCTGGAGAGTTTGCATAATGAAATTAAGATACCACAGACATTACACATTATGCCTGGAGAATGTACAAAATGGTCCGACACATGCACATCCCTCAAAGTCTGTTAGAGAGTATGCCTAATGTCTGGAGAATGTATAAGATGTAGCTGAGATATGCATGTCCCCCAACATGTATGGGAGAGGAGTACACACAATTTCCCATTCATGAACAGATTATGTGCATCTCTTCCATGTGTTGTACAATGACTGGTAGTTCTACACAAATATATTATTTCTCAATAAAAGGTAAAGGTAAAGGACCCCTGGAAAGTTAAGTCCAGTCAAAGGTGACTATGGGGTTGCGGCACTAATCTCGCTTTCAGGTCGAGGGAGCCGGTGTTTGACCACAGAAAGCTTTCCAGGTCATGTGGCCAGCATGACTAAATCACTATTGGCACAATGGGACACTGTGATGGAAACCAGAGCAGTGCACGGAAACACTGTTTACCTTCCTGCCACAGCAGTACCTATTTATCGACTTGCACTGGCATGCTTTCGAACTGCTAGGTTGGCAGGAGCTGGGACAGAGCAACGGGAGCTCACTCCGTTGTGGGGATTCGAACCACTGACCTTTCAAGCGGCAAGCCCAAGAGGCTCAGTGGTTTAAACCACAGTGCCACCCGTGTCCCGTGTTGCTCAGTATACATTACCATTAACATATATATTGTGAAAGAAGAAGCAGCTCAGGATCCAGTCCATAAAAGTGCAATAACACCCATTTTTCTACATGACAGTGATCTGCATCAAGTTGTTCACGGCATAAGAAAGTGCCAGAACAATCTCCTCTTCTCTGTCTGCAGCTTGCCTCATAAACCCTCACCACTGTTTAATTCAGAAGGTGGAATTACCAGCTCAACACACGCAACTCCACTAAGTTTCCTTCCTGCCCACTTAGAAGCTTAAAGTGCACAGCGTTCTGCAAGCAAATAAATGTTCTTATATGTCTTATCATGCGTATCCAGTTATCCCATGGTGTTCATTTTATTCCTTCTATGCATCACTCTCTCACAAAAAAATCTTCATAAGGCCTAGAAGCTCCCACCACTTTAAAATCACACTGATTTTCACTAAGCTGTAAAATGGAACCAGTCGTTCTCACTAAGTATAAACCTCTTTACAGGGTTGTTGTGGGGATAAAATTGGGCAGGGCAGGGTGGGGGGAGAACCGCATAAGCTTTCCTCAGGTCATTCGAGGAATGGCAGGATCAAAGTTAAATAAGTAAGTAAGTAAGTAAGTAAGTAAGTATCCCTGGCAGGGATAGGCAGACATCAACCTATATTTCAATACTTCTAATGAAGGAAGAGTCCAGTGCCTTCTAAGGAAAGCTGCTCCACTGTTGCACAGCTCATACCATCAGACAAGCCCCCTCCCCACCTTTTAATTGGAATTCGTTGGTTTGGATCCTAATAATAATAATAATTTATTATTTGTACCCCGCCCATTTGGCTGGGTTTCCCCAGCCACTCTGGGCAGCTTCCACAAAGACCAAAAATACACTAAGATGTCCCACATTAAAAACTTCCCTAAACAGGGCTGCCTTAAGATGTCTTCTGAATGTCAGGTAGTTGTTTATCTCTTTGACATCTGATGGGAGGGCGTTCCACAGGGCGGTCGCCACTACCGAGAAGGCCCTCTGCCTGGTTCGCTGTAGCTTTGCTTCTCGCAATGAGGGAACTGCCAGAAGGCCCTTGGCGCTGGACCTCAGCATCCGGGCAGAACGATGGGGGTGGAGACGCTCCTTCAGGTATACCGGGCCGAGGCCGTTTAGGGCTTTAAAGGTCACCAACACTTTGAATTGTGCTTGGAAACGTACTGGGAGCCAATGTAGGTCTTTTAAGACCGGTGTTATGTGGTCTCAGTGGCCGCCCCCAGTCACCAGTCTAGCTGCCGCATTCTGGATTAGTTGTAGTTTCTGGGTCACCTTCAAAGGTAGCCCCACGTAGAGCGCATTGCAGTAGTCCAAGCAGGAGACAACTAGAGCATGCACCACTCTGGCGAGACAGTTCGCGGGCAGATAGGGTCTCAGCCTGTGTACCAGGTGGAGCTGGTAGACAGCTGCCCTGGATACCCTCCTGAGCAGCAGAAAACAAATTTCCTCCAACTCGGGGGGGGGGAGAGATCTGGTTTGTGGGTTACTCTTGGCCTGCCAGGGGGTCCAAAGCCCACTAGGGTTTTATCCTGTAGCTGAACCCAAGTTAAAGATTTGTTCTCCGTTTCCCCCTGTCTTTCCTTCTCTATCCTTCCTTCCTTGTTTTTCTTGAATCAAGTTTTAGTCTGTAAGCTCCTTGGAGGCAGAGGCCTGTTCTCTTTTATGATGTGAATCACTGTGTACCCTGCTGATGAAACAAAACGATTTCTTTAACATTTGTAAAACAAGGAGGCTAATCCACTGCACAAATCTACTCTGCTGGGTTCAGTGAGTTCAGATCAAATCTAAACGGGGCATGAGGATGAATTTGCTGTGCTTTGCAGATGGTGGCAAGTTCTCAAAGTTTGTTTCCTTTGCCTCACTGGGGACACCAGAGCCAGATGTCAGAGTGGTAACTTTGGAAACAAACTCCCTTTGTAACAATGATCATCCAGCTCTTGAATGCCCATAGCACCAGTTTACCTTGCCAAGATCTAAAGGGATAAATCAAGCATCCTCTTCATTGTTGCCATTTTCCATCTGGCATGGAGAGTTCAAAGTCATCAAGCAAAACCAGAATGCTGCTTCTCAGACTGAGATTGGATCAGCCGTGGAAAGACGTTCTCTGTGTAATCTTCAAGTGACCTCAGAGTGAGTGAGTAAGGGGCAAGTGAGATGGATGGGGCTGATGGGGTAGTTCAGATTCAAATTTGCTTAAAAAAAATCACCCCCCTTCAGACACGAGCTGAGTTGCAAAGAAGGTTTAGAATCTATATTTTAATTCATACCTAATCAATGTTATGCCTTTCACATGCTGCTGGATTAAAGGCAGCCCTCTTTAGTGAAGCTTTTAATATCTGATAAATTATTGTATTTTAATATTTTGCTGGAATCCACCCAGAGTAGCTGGGGAAACACAGCCAGATGGGTGGGGTATAAATAAATTATTATTATTATTATTATTATTACAGTGGTGCCCTGCAAGACGAATGCCTTGCAAGACGGAAAACCCGCTAGACGAAAGGGTTTTCCGTTTTCAATGCGCTTCGCAGGACGAATTTCCCTATGGGCTTGCTTCTCAAGACGAAAATGTCTTGCGAGTCTTGAGATATTTTTTTCGCTTCCCCCCCCCTTTTTCTAAGCCGCTAAGCCTTTAATAGCCTTTTAGCAGCTAAGCCGCTAAGCCGCTAAGCCTTTAATAGCCGCTAAACCGCTAATAGCGCTAATCCGCTAAGCCGCTAATAGGGTTGCTTTGCAAGACGAAAAAACCGCTAGACGAAGATACTCGCGGAACGGATTAATTTCGTCTTGCGAGGCACCACTGTATTATTATTATTATTATTATTATTATTATTACTTCCATCATCACTGACCATGTTGGCTGGGTTGGTTGGAGTTGATTAACATCTTGACAACATTCCATTGGCTATATCTATTCAAATTCTCTATCGTAGGATATGGGGGTGATTGATGATTTTGAGTTCAGAGAGGTCAGGCAGAGATTCTGTGGATTGTGACCATTCCACAATTCTGTCAATTGCCTACTGATTCCTGTAAGCACAAAATGCTTTGCTCCGCTGTTTTCACCTTCACCTCATGCCTGCCTCACATTTTCTACAACCTCTCTTGCACACAAACCACTGCATTTACCTCTTGTATCTCCCCCCTCCCAAAGACTTCAACATCTAAGCACTGTTTTCACATTCTGCCCAACTCCCATGCTGTATACCTTTCTATGCCAGTGCTTTCATATTCAACCTCATTCCCATTCCTCCTACTCATTCTGGGGGTTTTTTTTGGGGGGGGGGGCGTTAGCAACCCCCTTTCCACTTCCATTTTCAGCTTCACTCTCTTTTTTTAATCTCTCCACCCTTCTTCTTTCTCTTCTTCTTAGTTCTCCCTTTCTGTGTGATCACCCTCATTTCCATACCTTCTCCTGTTCTGCAGCCCCCTTTGTGTATACAACCCATACTGATATATGTTGCTCATCTTTAATATGAAAATCTTAAGAGCAAGCTGTCACTTTGCTTATTCAGATAGAGAATCTTAAGTTCAGTTGATGGATGCTGTGCACATATGGATGTTTAAAATATCCTTTCTAAATTACCACATTGAATCTAGAACCTCATGTTAAAGACAACAAATGGTACCAGGAGTGATGGTAGTAGATACAATGGAATATTAGAGGGCCTTGTATCCTTTAACTTTCCCACACAAGGCAACTGAGAAATGGAAGAGGGAAAAGTTTAAAACATCAACTTTCACTCTTCTTCATTGGAAATTCATTGGACTAGATGATTCTCTGAGTCCCTTCCAGCTCCACAGTTCTATGATTTTTTGATTCTATAACAGCAGAAGTTTGCCCATAGCAGTGGTGAAGAGACACCGAACAGAAAATAGCAGTTTTAAATGATGGAAAAGGTCTGAGCAAGGTGGGAAGGAAGGGACACAGAAGAAAAAGACAGTTTTCAGCAGCAGCAGCAGCAGCAGCAACAACAATAGAGGTTTGAGTAAATAAGGGATAAAGGGATGTGGAATAAAGTGGTGGTTTTAAACAGTGCTTTTCTTCTAGAAAGAAAGGTGTCAGTACTGCATAACCTTGAGTACCCCCAGAAAAAATTCCTGGCTTTTTAACACGATATATTCTATTCAAACATCTTCCAGAAAAAGCTATGCAGACGATTGCTCTGGAATAAATGTTTCATGCATAGAGAAGTGAATCAAAACTACCCCCTTCACTTAGAAGCAAATGAAAGCTAGCCATGTTCATTCATTTCAATTGGTTTACTCTGAAAGGGAAAAACATTGGGTTTAGCTTTGGTTTACTTACTTGTTCCCTGTCCTCTCTCTCAAGGAACCTATTTTATGATGTTTTAGCAATTTTATAGCACACTAAGATGATTTCTTCAATGAGCTGGCAGCTTAGAAAATATTTTTGAATGAAAGAATAAAAAAATATGTTTCCTTTCCCCTTTTACAGGCTAAATGGGGCACCTTAAAGAAAACCACACAAGAATAAATGAATTCCTTTTGATGGCCATATCCCCCACATGGGAGTCCCAAGCCATCCTCTTTGCGGTCTTCCTTCTGGTTTACGCATCTACCATAGTAGGAAATAGTCTTATCATGCTGACAGTGACTTCTGACCTTCGACTGCAAACACCTATGTACTTCCTGCTGGGGAACCTCTCCTTCGTGGACCTTTGCTACTCCACAGTCACAACCCCTAAAATTCTAGTGGACCTTTTGTCCAAGAAGAAGAGCATCTCCTTTGATGCCTGCATGGCCCAGCTCTTTTTCCTCCATTTTGTGGGTGCTACCGAGATGTTCCTTCTCACCATCATGGCCTATGACCGGTATGTGGCTATTTGCAAGCCTCTGCACTATCCCAATATCATGAACAGGCAGCTTTGTAGCTGGCTGGTGGCAGCCTCTTGGACTGGGGGCTTCATCCACTCCACAGTCCAGTTAGTTCTCACTATAGGGCTTCCCTATTGTGGGCCCAACCAACTGGACAACTTCTTCTGTGATGTCCCACCGGTTATCAAGCTGGCCTGCACTGATACCTACATCACTGAACTCCTCATAGTCTCCAACAGTGGCCTCATCTCAATAAGCTGCTTTGTCATCTTGGTTGCTTCCTATGCCACCATCCTGGTGAGGATCCGCTCCCCTGAGGGACGGCGCAAAGCCCTCAATGTCTGTGCCTCTCACCTAATGGTGGTGACATTGTTCTTTGGTCCTTGCATCTTTATCTACGGTGGGCCCTTATCCACTATCTCAGTAGACAAGCTGACCCCTGTCCTGTACAATATCAATATCATTACTCCCATGCTGAATCCATTGATCTACACTCTGAGAAACAAAGATGTTAAGTCAGCCATAAGGAAGCTGACAGGGAAGGAAACAATTTCTGATGGAAAGGTAGACATGTGATTCCCTGGATTATTGCTTATAGAGACCTTCACAGCAGCATAGTTGGGTGTAGCATGTAATTGGAGAGTGTTGAAAGCAACCATTTTTGATAAAAATTGGACTGATCTTTTAAAAATGTGCTTTGGCACATTTGAAATATGAATTAAGTACCCATCATATTCTTTTTTAATGCTGAGGAGTTAGTAAGAAATCTAATTAACAAGAACAATAAGAACCTACAGGCTTAATCAGCAAGTCCTTTATCAGTAAGGAGGCTTCATTTTTAAAAACCAATATTATGGCACTGTAGTTTTCATTTCCTATGCAAAAGCCCTGCTAGCTTCTGGTCAAATCCCTATTATTACTGCCTGACTGTGATGTAGATATCATTGGCAATCAAATAAAAAAGAGGTTAAATGCATGTGAATATAACCTGTAATTAAATAAACTTAGTATGTGTATTAAACAAAAATATCAGTTTTTGATATATAACATTCAATAAACCTGATAGTGTGATATTTTAAGTTGCAGAACTGGGAACACTCTTGAGTCCAAAAACATATTTCATTGACACTACCAAAGTAATTATTTCTAAACAACCACCCTACTCCAATTATTTTGGGGACATGACATGCATGGTCTTTAACCCTTTCTCCCCACACTATGGTTCTGATCCAGATTGCCTATTCTGAACATGGAAGGGGAAACTAACAGTCACTTTCTGTGAACCCCTTAGATCCCTATGCCCTTCTGTCACCTATCCTGTAGCCAAATCCAAGCAGGTGCTACTAAATCATTTACATGCTCTTTCCCTGTTTATCTCTCTCTACCCTTCCTTCTTTTAAACTGTAAGATCCTTGAAAGCAGAGCTCTTTTCTTTTTCATATTGTAAAGTACTGTGGACAATTATGGTGCAGCAACATCAATTCCCTTCAAATTTTTAAATCAAGAAGGTGCTTACAAAGTACAAATCCATCCTATGGCACATAAAAGGTAAAGGTAAAGGGACCCCTGACCATTAGGTCCAGTATTGACCGACTCTGGGGTTGTGGTGCTCATCTTGCTTTATTGTCTGAGGGAGCCAGCATACAGTTTCCAGGTCATGTGGCCAGCCCTAGGCTCTGTGGTTTTAGACCCTTAAAAACTATGGAGTAGTCCCTTAAAACGAAGGAGTATGTTCCACCGAGATTTGTACTCAGATCGCTGGATTCAGAGTCCAGAGTGCTAACCATTACACCATGGAACCTTACACATGGCACATAATAAATGCCACTTAAAAGTAAACTGTACCGGGGAGGAATTTCTTTTACAAATTCTCAAATTCTTTCCCTCGCTGGAGACATCAGAGCAGTAACTTTGGCAAGAAACTCCCTTTGCAACCACAATCATTCAGCTCCGCCATACTCAGCACATCAGTTTGCCCTGCCAAGATAAATCAGGAAGTCTTTTCATTATTCTCACTTGCTGATTTTCAAAGGCATTGGGTGGCACTGGAATGCCACTTCCCAGTGCAAGATCTTAGTGGCTGTGGAGAGATGTTCCTCATTCAACCTCTGAGTGAGTAAGGAGAGAGCAAGTGAGATGGACAGGGCTGATGGGGTAGACATGCTCTAAATTTCCTCCCTTAAAACACAAACTAGGCTGCAAAAAAGGTTACAATCTGTCTTGTAATTCCCAGATAGGTGTCCTCCAGATGTTTCTGAACTACAACTCCCATCACCATTGACCATGCTGTGTGGGATTGATTGGTGCTGGGGATGAATAACCCTTGGCAGCATCCCACTGGCTGCCACCAATTCTCTATTGTAGGCTTTGTGACTATAGCTGCTTTTGGGTTGAGAGATTTTTTCGGCGGGGGGGGGAGGGATTCTGCATCTTGTGATTGTTTCATAATTCTTTCAGTTGTCTCGCAGTCCTTATCAAGCACAAAAGCAGGGCTGGCATTACCATTGGGCAAAGTGAGGCAATTACCCTCAGTGGCACATGTTGGTACCATTTTATAACTTGCTTTGGGTTAGGTTTTGTGAAAAAAGCAGCTAATTAAAGATACTTGTGATGGTGGTGATAATATTACTGCTATGAGGCAGCAGCTCTCTGGTTTTCCTCTGACACACCACAGACATTCTCCAAGATTGTTGAGGCAGACAAAAGTAAACCAAACTGGAATGAAAAGTATTTATAGGAAGCTGAAAGAGGAATCTCTGTTTGTCCTTTTTCATTCATCTGGGATTCTTTCATTCTTTTTTGCATGCTTATGTATTTGAAAAGCCTACACAACCTGTTAAACCAGATTGCCTGCATCTGGTTCAATTTGGAAGGTGATCTCTAGAGGCTTGCTGACATTTTCCAGTATATGTGTTTATTCAGAAATATATAGGCTGGGTGCAGGTGAAGTTGTATCCTAAATATTCCCCCAGACTGTCCAGGTCCAATGCACCTCTGTCAGGTTCCTGGGGAGCTGTCCAGCACCTCAATCACTGTTAAATCCCAGAGCCCCAAAGTCATTTCTCTGTCCCTCTGTCTACCCCCCCTTCTTTCTTTCACCGACTGCAGTTTCTTTTCTCAGACAGATTGTTTTCACCATTCTTAGCTGTGTTGGAGAGTAGAGAGTGTGAGCCCACATGATTTATTTGAGGGGAGGTTAGGTAACAGTGCATCAAGGAAGTGTTAATTCATACTTTTGTCTGTCCCATAGCACGAAAGTGCAATATTTTTTTGGAGGCATGTTTGTTGCACAAGACATCCTAATCACCTGTAAATGCACAACCTGAATTTGCTGGCATGTGATTGAACCCTACCTGAAGATGGTGATACTCTACTAGCACCCAAAGAGAGATTTTACTTCTTGGCTATTCAAAGGGGCAGCTATTGAAAGCAACCAACCCCCCCCCCGTCAAATCAGACATTTGGCATTTTTTTCAGGACTGATAAGGCTTTATCCAACAGCTTTTCCTGGTTCCACCAACCGTCTCATGTCCAGCCAGCACCACAACCCCCAGTGTACATTATAGATAAATATTAAAATTTCTTAATGCAGAACTACCGATGCTCTCAAAAGTTAAAGCAAATCCTGGTACATAAAGGATGCAACTCAGTCTACCCTTTCCCTAGTCCAAGTCCCATTGAGCACACCAAATCTGATCTAGATTGACAGTGCAATCCCATCCATGTCTACTCAGAAGTAAGTCCCATCCATAGGCATGCATATTTTAACTGTCCCTTCACATTTGCTCAACCTGTATATTTGTAAATAAAGACAAGTATTATAAAATGAAGATTTATTTTATTTTGTTATAAATATATTTATATACTGTTGTATCATAGAAATCTATCATAGTGGTTTATGATAATTTAAAATACGAACCATACAGTAAAATCATTTTACAAAATAAAAACAAGTTAAAAGCAAAAGAATAAAAAACACAGGAATGTTGGCAATCAAGGAAACAATTTCTGATGGGAAGGTAGACATGTGATTCCCTGGATTATTGCTTATAAAGACCTTCACAACAGCAAAGCTGGGCAAAATATGTAATGGCAGTGACTCAAAAACAATAATTTAAACTAATGTGTTTTTTAAAAAAACATGTGAGGGGCATTGAAACTTTGGATGTATGATTTTAGGACCAAAACTATTCTTTTGATTTTATGGAGGTTAAGAAATCTGAATGATGATAACAACAGCAAATTACAAACTTAATGAGCAAGTCCTTAGACAGTAAGGAATCTTCATTTTTAAATATATATTAGGGCATTATGGTTTCCTGGCGTGCTCTGGTCCATGGGGTCACGAAGAGTCGGACATGACTAAACGACTAAACAACAATGGTTTCTGTGTCTTAGGTAGATTACCTTCAAGCTTCTGACTGAATCCCAATTTTTTATTCCTAGGTGTGATGTAAATGTTGCATATACTCAGATAAACAAAGAGGTTTAAAATATGCAAAAATAACAATAAGCTAAGTATTCAATAAAAAATGAACCTGCTAATATATGGTGCAGTGTGTGTACATAAAAATATACCAAATATATATTTATATGAATGCTGTGATGGAGAACCCTTGGGTCTGCCTCTTTGTGACCCAACAGCCAGTGGGAGTTGACAAGTAGATCAACTTGTAGGGGTGGGGGAATGGGATGTCAAGGACTGGCTGGATGAGGAAGAGCGTTGGAAGCTGCCTGCCCAAGAGCCCCTCAGGAAGGACACAGATGATGACTTAGATCCTGGATCATGGTGATGGGACACTGAAGAGCAGTCTGCAGAAGGGACAAGCTCAGAGGTGCAAGAAGCAAGGGGGTTGAGTGATCAAGAATGGTCAGAAGAAGGAGGGCATTCCAGGATAGGGTTAGAGACTGAGAGTCACAGTGTGAGCACAGACTCAGACAAAGAGGAGTCAGAGGTTGTCCTTGCTGCCCAACAACAGAACAGTCCCAATTCTGCTGGCTCTCCTCCCCCTCTGACACCCCGCTTGAGGAGAGTCCTGCACATTGCCGAACAACAGGCCAAACAGGTCTAGAGGAGGAGCCCCCCCCCCTCAACACAGCCTTCGTCTGCTTGAAACGAATCCAGAGTGAGAGGCTAGAGGCGGAAGGTCAGGGCTAGTGATCAATTTCAGCAACATCTCAGCTGGATTAAGAGAAACCAGAGGACTCTACTGGGTTGTTATTTTCTGTTAATAAAAAGCTGATTGTATTCTGTGTCTACCATGTGTCCCTGCACTGTGGTCAATGTGGGTTCTGGCTAGCCGAGCAGACTCAGATAGGATAGAGGAAACAGAGTGGGTTAGTGTTGATGTTAGGAATAGTCTGTGGCCAGACAATTTTCTCTTTACCTAAAGAGAGAGTTAAGGTTTGGAGGGGCTGGAAGTGTTCTTTGGGTGGAGTAAAACAATAGCCAGTCCTAGGAAGCATTTCTCTGTCTGCTAGAATGTCTTCAGTAAAGACTTATTAAACATCATTGTTAAGCTACAACCTCTTATATAAACATATAAAGTTCCTGTTTTGTTATAAGTGCCTTTACTTCATTTTTCTGGGTGAGAGCTGAATGGTCACAAGTTCCCCTTCACCTATTTATACCATCTTGCTTCTGGTAAATAAAATACTCTACTACAATTGGTTTAGACCAGAACCTCTGCTATGGGAAGAGTACCGGCAGCTGGTCTCATTTCACCACCTAAGGCAAAACAGGAATGTAGGCAGAGTCTTGGTCTATTCAATACTGTAAAGCCCAGTGAACATTGGTGTTGCAACACTGTGGATTGCTTTCAGATTTATAAAGCAAGAAGGTGGTTGCAATGTACAAATCCATTCTAATGGACTTGCTAAGTGAAGATTAAAGGAAAACTGGCTTGAGGAGGAATTTCCTTTGCAAGTTCTCAAAGTTTACTGCCCTTCTCTCACTGGGATTACCAGAGCAGTAACTTTGGAAAGAAACTCCCTTTGCAACCACACTCACCAGCTCCTTAATCCCTACACATATGTGCCAAGACTCAAAGAGATAATTAAATAAGACTTTTAATTGTTCCCATTTGCCAGCTTTCAAAGTCATTGAGTGACACTGCAAGACCACTTCTCACTTCACACTCCAAGATTTGATTAGCTGTGAAGAGATGTTCCCTGTGCAACCTCAGAGTGAGTAAGGAAGAGAGTGCAAGTGAGACACACAGGGCTGATGGGGTAGACGTGATATAAATTTGCTAACCAATTTCCCTCCTTCAGACACAGACTAGCTTGCAGAAAAGGGTTAGAACCTGTCTTGTAATTCACAGCTAGCTAATGTGTTCTCCAGATGTTTCTGGACCACAGCTACCATTCTTGAGCATGTTGCCTGGGACTGATTGGAGCTAGGGTTGAATAAACCCTGGGCGGCATCCAATTGGCAGCCCTGTTCTAATTCTCTGTTATAGGATTTGTGATGATAGATGCTTTGGGATTGAGAGATTTTAGGGGGAGATTTTGCATTTTGTGATTATTCCATAATTTTCTCAATTGTCTTGTGATGCTTGTCAAATAGAGAAGCAGGGCAAAGTGAGGCAATCACTTGAGGTGGCACGTGGTGGTTCCATTTCAAAGTTGCTCTGGGTCACATTTCAGGGGGGGGGAGCCAAATAATAAGGGATAATGGTGGTGGTGATAATGCTGGGGATGGGTGGAGAGCAACCCTCTGGCTGCTTCATCTCACACACCACATCCAGTCCCCAAGATTGTTGAGGCAGACGCAGTTGAATCAAACTGAGACAATAAGTCCTCATGTGAAGCAGAAGACAATTAGAAAGAAGGGTCTGTGATTCTCCTATTTTCTTCTCTCTGGGATTGGGTTTATTTCTCTTTCTGCAAGTATGTGTATTTCAAAAGTCTGCCCAGCCTCTTGAACCAGGTTGCCTGGGTCTGGTTCCTGTTGGAGGGAGATCTCTGGAAGCTTATTGGCATTTTGTAATATGTGTGTTTATTTGCAAAAATACAAACTGAGCATAGGTGCTGGAATAGCTTAAACACCCTAATAAACTGTCAAGGACCACTGCACCCGCCAACATCAGGTTCACAGGGAGCTATCCAGTACTCCCCCAAACCCTGTTAACTCCCAAGTCCCAAATTCATCTCTTGCCTTCTCTCTGTGTATGTTTTCCCCCTCCAACTGCAGTTTCTCCTCTTAGGCAGGCATCTCAATTGCACAATTCTTAGCTAGAGTGGGGAGCAGAGCTTCTGGGCACTTGCAGAAGACCTGTTTATTGAGCAGTCAGCCCAATTCATTTGTAATTTGGTTAGGCAACATAGCATCAAGGAAGTGTTGGCACATACTTCCCTCTGCATTTTTCTTATCAGAAAAAAAGTTAAATATTTGGGGGGAAGCATGTCTAGAGCGCAAGATTTCCCAAACAACTGTAAATGTACAATCTGAATTCGCCATAAAGTAACTGAATCCTACCTGAAGATGATGACACCCTGAAAGGGCCCAGAAAGAGATCTTAATCTTAGATATTGCTTGGACCACACAAAAAGCCAGCTATTGATAGCAATCTCCCAATCACATTATTAAAGGAGACATTTGACATTTGTCAGGACTAATAAGGTATTATGTGGCAGTTTTATTGGTTTCATTAGCTCTCTCTTATCCCCATCCCCTACCCCCAATGTACAATATGGATAGAATTTTAAAATGTCCTGATGCAGAACTACCTGGGTCCTCAAAAGGTAAGGTATAATTTTATGACATAAAGTTTGCATTCCAGTGCACACTTTTCTAGGACTGTGGTGTTAATCATGTTTGCTAGAGTTACTGAAGATACCTTAAAAACTGCTTCATTAGGAGAGTGTTAAATGATACCCACTGCCATCGTGGGTGATCATTAGAAGAGTTTTCTGTGTAAGGACTTGAATACAGTGGGACCTCAGGTTAAGAACTTAATTCGTTCTGGAGGTCCGTTCTTAACCTGAAACAGTTCTTAACCTGAGGTACCACTTTAGCTAATGGGGCCTCCTGCTGCTGCTGTGCCGCCAACGTACAATTTCTGTTCTCATCTTGAAGCAACGTTCTTAACCCGAGGCGCTATTTCTGGGTTAGCAGAGTCTGTAACCTGAAGCGTCTGTAACCTGAAGTGTCTGTAACCCGAGGTACACTGTATGTTGTGAAAATTTAGTGAAGAAGGCATCCCACTACTAATTGTGTTAGCCTATCTATAAGGGTGCTTAGAACAGTTCCTTGCTGTGCTAGTGAACTCATGACAAGCAGTGTCTTGGCTCTTATTGCTGCTTTTATGGTTTTATGGTATTAATTAGACTATATACTACCTTACGATATTGCGTTTGAAAGTGCTGTTTATGAATATGTAAATAAAGAAAACAGAACTTGTTACCCTCATCCCGTTTAAAGCGCTGAGTAGTTCCAGGGATATAGTGCTTAACTGGATCTAGTTTCTATTGGAAGTTACTAGAGGTTTATTGGCATTTTGTAAAACTTGACTTTGTAGTTCCCTAGCCAATTATGCAGGGGCAGACCTTGGTAATCTTTCATAATAAGAGGCCTTTATGAGGCCACATTTGGCACCCCCAAATGTATATTATTATTTTGCATCCCGTCAAACTGATATAGAAATATAGTGAACTGGATGCTGCAAAAATGGGAAATTGCTAAAATGAAATTGACAGTTTTACTGATTCCTACACCTTGTATATTCTGTAGACACCTTGACATTCTGGAGACCAGATATATAAAATGATTGAATGGACAGACAGACAGACAGAGAGATATTACACTGTATACCTAAAATGTTGTTGCTATTGACATTCAACCTGTGAAAGTTGGCAGTCCCAGGCAATTGCTGTCAGTGTCCAAAAGCTTACACCAGTAAATGTCTCCAGGCACCTATACAGTATGTGTAGTTTGTATGGCAGAAGAGTGGGGAAATAAAAGTCTTCAGATATTGATCAATTGTATCTGGAAATTCAAACGTTCACATGATTTTGAACTTTGGGCCTGATTTTGGACTTTTTGAACTGTAGGGGTAATGAGTGTCAATTGGCAACTATGCTTAAAAACCACCTAGAAGCCCCATCACAGGTCAAAGAAACCAGGCAGGAGTCAGGGGTGGCAGGACTAACGGGGCCCTGTAATGTATCTGTTTAATAATAATAATAATAATAATAATAATAATAATAATAATTTATTTATATCCTGCCCTCCCCAGCCGAAGCTGGGCTCAGGGCGGCTAACAACAATAAAATAGTGCAACATTCTAGAAACATTTCATTATAAAAATAATTAAAATCAAATCAAATTGATGGCAACCATTAAGATAAAGTTATGTGAAGATTGCCAAAGGAGGGAGTCAGGCTGCGCCCTGACCAAAGGCCTGGTGGAACAGCTCTGTCTTGCAGGCCCTGCGGAAAGATGTCAAGTCCCGCAGGGCCCTAGTCTTTTGTGACAGAGTGTTCCACCAGATTGGAACCACAGCCAAAAAAGCCCTGGCTCTGGTTGAAGCCAGTCTAACCTCCCTGTGGCCTGGGACCTTCAGGATGTTTTTATATGAAGACCGTAAGTTCCTCTGTGGGACATACCATGGCTTTGCCAGGAAAACAACGGCTTGGCCACAGCCATGCAAGCCTTGGCAACTTCTAGAATGCATTATTGCATGGGTAGACAAACTAAGGCCCGGGGGCCGGATCCAGCCCAATCATCTTCTAAATCCAGTCTGCGGATGGTCCGGGAATCAGCATGTTTTTGCATGAGTAGAATCATAGAATCATAGAAGAGTTGGAAGAGACCACAAGGGCCATCGAGTCCAACTCCCTGCCAAGTAGAATGTGTCCTTTTATTTAAAATGCATCTCTGGGTTATTTGTGGGACATAGGAATTCATTCATTATCCCCCCCCAAAATATATATATATATATATAATCCGGTCCCCCACAAGGTCTGAGGGACAGTGAACTGGCCCCCTGCTGAAAAAGTTTGCCGACCCCTGCATTATTGCAATGCACTCTATGTAAGGCTACACTTGAAGCTGCAGCTAGTGCAGAATGCTGCATCCCAGCATTTGGCCAGAGCACCTCCTTATTAACATACTACAATAGTGCTGAATGCTGTGCACTGTCTGTCATTCTATTACTAGGCCAGAATATTACTGAGCTAACCAGGCAGTATCTCAACTCCCCATCAGACACCCAGAAGAAGAAGAAGAAGAAGAAGAAGAAGAAGAAGAAGTAGAGCAGCTCTGAACAACTGCAAAGCATAGTTCAATCCTTGCTTACATTCTATCAGTGATGGTTAATTCATTTAGGAATCTGCCTTAGTTGGTAACTAAAGTCATCAAAAGCAGGGGGGAAGGATCACTTTAGCAGTATTTATAAGGATGGGGCAAAATGTTACCAGCCTGAAGATGGTGAAGAAGAGGAGGTTGTGGCCAAAAAATAAGAAGGTGTTTTGGATAGTTTGTTTTAAGCATGAACACTGAGCACATTCTACCCTGATTTAAGTTGCGTATATGCCATCCACATTTTAGGTCCAACTGCACGCTTTTAAAAGCCCCTTGGAGGTAACAGTATTATTGTTAGTGAATAAAGTGCTTAAACAACCTGGATCCAGGTTACTCAAAGGACCAAATTTTCCCTAGTGTACAGGTTAGAACAGTATAATCACTTGGCCAAGCCTTCCTGACTGTTCCACAGTTATCTCCTGTTGATTTATTTTCTGTACCAACTGAAAGTTTTTATGGTAGTGGCTACTTGTCCATCTGTTGATAATATTTTTAGTTTCACCAAGCACTTTTAGAGAATTGATTAGATTCAGTCTTGATAATCTGATCCATGTTTTGTGATTTAGGGTTGAATTCAATGGTAGTCCTATTCAGGGTAGAGCCAATGAAACTGATGGGCCATTCATTTGAATGGATCTACTCTAATTAGGAATAGCATTGGAGACAGCATATATTTATTTATTTATTTATTTATTTAGTTGGTTGGTTGGTTATAGCTTGCCATTCCCCCCCCAAGCAGGCAATTTTATAAGATTTTCGTTATTTTATTTTGCACCCCCATGATCTGCTTTAATAAATTA